CCACACAACCCTAGCTATGTGACACCTGAAGAATATGTAGGAGCCCCCTATAATTTTCAAGAATATGCGAATAAAGAAGATATGGGCATCTTGAATACAACTGTGGATGGAATTGTTAACATGCTGTCCGCTCTTGACAACAAGATGAATGATATGAACAACAAGGTGAGTGATGTTCAAAACCAGCTGAATCATCTGAAAATTTACATCACTAAAATGAAAGGAGGAAGCACTTACCAGAAAAAACAAGGGGGATCCGGAGAGACTAAGAAAACAAGACAGACGGATCCATGCTTCATCTGTAATGAGTTAGGGCATTGGGCCCCAGATTGTCCCCGAAAAAAACAGGATTCGTGCTACAAGTGCGGGAAATCTGGTCATTGGGCTAATCAGTGTACAGAGGATGAGGAGGATCAACAATTCGTCAAAGAAATACAAAAAATGGAGAAAAAGCCTCAGGAACCCAAGAGGAAACTACCCCTGACCACTGATAAGGCACAGAAGAAGAAAAAGTAAATTGTTGTATTTTTTCACTTGAATAAAATCTATGTTCTTGTTTCTATTGTGTGTTATTTGTTAATGTTTTGAGGAAATCCAGTTTGAAAGATGATGCAACAGGTATCAAAAAGATGATGCAATAGATCTAAAAGATGATGCAACAAGTATAAAAAAAGATGATGCAATAGATATCAAAAAGATGATGCAATAGATATATAAAGATGATGCAATAGATCTAAAAGATGATGCAACATATGCACTGAATTGACCCGGCTATCCTTAGAACCCCCTAATCTGCACTCCCTTGACCCGCCTATCTCCTCCAGGGGCTGCACTCCCTTGACCCACCTATCCCCCCCAGGGGCTGCACTCCCTTGACCCGCCTATCCCCTCAGCCCCAAAAGTGCACTCAGTTGACCCGCCCATCCAGACGCCTTATACTACTGGGGTCACATCAGAGCGACCTTTAGATTATGAATACATGTACTAGTAAACACAAACACTTTGGCCATGTAGATTCAAGCCTCGGTAAACAATTCTCAAATTAATTCCACGGCTACATATCATCGTTATTGATACTGTCTTACGTTGAATTAAGGTAATTTTGGAATAAATTTTATGTATAGTCTGCAGTCTGGCATCTGAACGTGAATAATGCAAACGAAAGAGCACAAACTATACAAGATACCCCACACGTCATACATAACACAGCTTTTGCAATGCATATTTTGTTTACTACAAAACTCCTCGGGTGTTTTGGTTCGGTGGTGAAAACAAGAAACCCATCTGAACTATAAGCCAAGATTTCGGAGGAACCATTTTCTTTGGCTTATCGAAGATTCACTCTTACATGACCCCAAATAGGATGTTGTTAGATGTTTGAGAAGCAGTAGCGGATTCGGAACATCTAATTTTAATTAGATTGCATCCATCTGTGACATCAGTTTGGAATGTTATTGGTTTTACTATTAAGTAAAGTATTACAAAAACAGAATGTCTGTTTTTTTTTTTTTTTGTTCTCTGATGACATTGGACAAAGATATGCATACTTAAATATCATCATTTCATGCACTTTTTTTCGGTACATATTAGATGAAAGCATGCTAACCGCTTTTTAGTACTTTCAGTACTTTGATTGAAAAGGGGCAGATAACCCCCAAAAAATTAACATTGAATTTCATGTATTGCCCTGGGACGATAAAGCCAAACTGTACTAAAAAAGGCAGGTTGCCTGAACATTAAAAGTTTCAGGAGTAAAAAAAATGTAAAGAATAGAACATTGTTAAACGTCAGGCGGTTCGTGTATGGTTTCTACTAGCATATTTGTTTCAAATGCGAATATCAATTTCAAAAACAAGATTTTAAAAATTCACTTGGAATTGAGCTTATAATGAAAATGATCATTTACCGTACAGAAAAGATTAACAGAAATATTTATTGATCACTAGATCAAACAGGTTCATTGCACAGAAAACATTTCAACCTTTTTCTTTATTACATCCAATGCCGAAATATTTCTTCACTTTTCCGTGAGATACATACTTCTTTCTACTTAAATGATGTATTTGATATGTTAAGTGAGTTTTTTTTTGTAGGTTTCTGTGCATATTTTAATGTTGATGAAAAACGAATAAAAGGCCTGTATGCTGCAGACTGTTCTACATTTACTACTCCCTGTCCTACACGATATCATTCGACTGAAGCATTTAAGTGTAAGTGATCCTCCTAAAGCAGAAGATGTACTAACCTTCCTGTTTTCCTGTTTTGTTGAGATTCTAAATTAAAACAAACAAGAAAATATCTTGTTATATGAAATATAGCTTTGAAAATATCGAAATATTTACATATTCTATGAACATGTTGAAGCTATTTTTTTAATTCTGCAGATCCTGCATGTTATGATCTTACTAAGGTATATGTAACTGTCGCTCCGAATCCTAGTCCTACAACCATGTCAACCAACTCCATAGTCGGATCTTCTGAAAGCATGAATAAAAAGACCAAGTACTTTCTTCTTTATTATTCTTTGAAGGGTTAATTCAAATTTAGAGTTGCTTTTTAATAAAAGGAACTAGTAAAATTACCAACCTTGTCTCTGTTCGTTTGCAAAATTATTTTGTTAAGAACATTTTGATTGTACACAAACGTACTCTTAAATTGTCATCAAAATAATGCTTGAGTTTCTGATTGACAATATCTATGTTGATTTTGGTGACCATATCTTCTAACAATCTATTGGAATTCCCATGGGTACAAATTGTCCATCGTTATTGGCAGACCTATTATTGTATTCATATGAAGCAGAATTTGTGCAAAATCTTATTCGTGAAAAGAAGAAAACACTTGCAGTGACCTTCACTCGACATTTAGATATATCGACGACGGATTGATAATTAACAATGGTAATTATATCCATTCCTATGTCGATACGATATATCCTGATCTTAAGATAAAAGATACCACAGAGTCTGGCAACTCTGTTTCATATTTGAATTTTTAATTGAAAAAAGTCGTTAATGGTATAATAACACCTAAGCTTTATGATAAACGTGACGACTTTATCTTTTCAATTGTCAACTTCCCTTACTTATGCAGCGATATACCTTCATCACCTGCATACGGAGTTTATATATCTCAGTCGATTCGATACGCAAGAGCATTCCCCACGTATGAACAATTTTTAAGCGAGGAAAATTATTGACATAAGTTGATGAAACAAGATTATCAGCAGTCTTGTTTAATGTTATCATTTCATAACTTCTATGGTCGATACAATGATCTTGTCAGGAAATACGATTTATCATTGGGTGAAATACTGACTGACCTTTTTCATACTTATTTTGGTCCATTATTTGCACATTGAATTGACGATGGACTTTTCTGTTATTACCCGATCATGAAAAGTTGCACTCGGCGGATGTGACCGGTTGGCAGGGGAAGCTCACTCCTCCATGGTACCTGATCTAATGTTTTGGAGCTCCGTGTTTGCTCTGTTCCTATTTTGTAAATTTTATAGGCGTTTGATCTTGAATACCTTTTGTTATCTCTATATATATTAATCTAAAAAATTCTATAATGAAAAAACGGAAACTTTGGGTTGAGTTTAAATAATATTACTGGAATACTGATGATAAAAAAAGAAATACGTATTACATCAAAAACTGTCACAGTGTTCAGATTAGATAGTTATTTATTACTGGCAATACCTATATATTAAAGGACATTTTTTTGCATACGATTAGTAATTATTTAATATGAGCACTGCAGCAGTTTTGATGTATTACGTTTTGTTATTATTAACATCAGTATTCTAGTAATTTCTCAATTAACTTCGTAAGTTATTTTGTATTTTGAGAGTAAGCGGTTACCTGAAACTGACATTATAAAATTTATTTCAGCAGAATATTTACACTATCCTTATTCTGTTTTTCAGAAGTATATCTGTTGACAGTGATGATAGCCCTGTTTTACCAATTATCCTGCCTGTAATTATTATTATCATCCTCAGCGGTATTGGAATAGGCATAGGAATTGTAGTATGGAGAAAAAGGAAAAGACCCTCACAGACCGAACAAAGTGAGTGGACGTATGTTGAAATGAATCTGTATGTTGGTTTTATGAAGAAAATATTTTTTAGAAATTCAATTTTTCAATTTTGAAAGAAAATTAATTCGAGTTATTTAAGATAGAATTTCATTTTAAATGATTTTTTTTTCTTTTCTTACGATTGTTTTTCTCAACATACATTCTTTTCACCTCACCATAAAAAGGAAATTTACATAGCTGGGGATATTGTGTAATGCATCGTACCGAAAGAAAAACATTTTGATGAATGTTTTTCTTACGGCCATGATCTGTAAGGCTAAATATGACAAATTCCTTAAATTGGACCTCTTATGAAAATGAACATTGTACATTTCTTTAAGATTTACTGAAAAGTACTTCAATAATTAATTTAAAACCCTATTTAACTGAAAAGCTTACTTTTTGGTAATGTCTTAATGTATTTCTAGGACAGGATCTCGAGGAAGGAACACTTTCATTAGGTTTGTTAGAACCTTTCCAATACATTTCAATTAAAATCTTTGACAATCAAGACATTAAAAAATTAGTATAAAATTACAGTTTCGTATATACTTTTGAATGATTAACTGGTCTTGATATATTTTCTTGCTTTACAGAAAATACACATCACATGGAAGAAAGAGAAAAATTGTTAGGTAATTAAAAATGTTTCTGATGGAAAGCTACAAAGAAGGCTTGTTAGTCCACTAAACATCCTATTATCTTTTGTATGAAAAATTACATCATTGAAATATTTTTTAGAAAAACCAGAAGATACAGAAAACGAAAAAGAGAGAGAGCATAATGCATTGATAGAGGAATTGAAGAGGCAATGTAAGAATACAATACTTTTTATATTTATTTCATTATTTATACATATAAAATTAACTCGATAAACGTAGTTTAGATAAATTCAAATTAACCAACACCCAAAATTAGAAAATCAGCTCAGTGAATGTGAAAACTAATATATTAATAAGTCTACCAATTTGAATAGATGATGCACAATTAAAGGAAATGTCCAGAAAAATTGAAATATTACAAGATCAGCAAGATCTACAGGAGAAAGACAAGACAGCTTTAAAGCAGAAGGTGATAGAGAAATATCAGGAATGCAAACATCTTAATAACAGACTACAGGAGGCAAAGGTATGAAAAAGAGAGATAACGATTGAATCTATTTCAAAATAATTGGTATATGTTGATAGGCAAACTACAAAAAAATCGAACTACTTAAATCTATAATTTAATTTTCATGTAATGTTTTTAAATTATTGAATAAAAGAGATATTGAGCTTAATTGAATTAAAAATACAGTGGGTATGAAAAGTTTATTATGCACATGCAAGTTTCAAATTATGAATATACAAAGGTCAACTCATTTTAGGGAAATATTCGGGTACTCTGTCGAATAAGAGATTGTGATGGCCCAAAGTGCATATCCGCGGACAGCAAGGTTGTTAAACTGATCGAAACTGAGGTAATTATATAGGATTCCTTCACTGTAAAGTTGATTATATTGAAAACCACCGTGGGAAATTAATTTTTTAAGAATTGAAGAAACAAATAAGAAAAAAATATCATAATGTTTAAACTTTTTATTGTACTGCTTTTTTACGCTTTTTTTTTTTTTTTTTTTTTTTTTTTTTTTTTTTTTTTTGCTAAAGACACATTTTACATGAAACTGGCAGTAAACATTCAACCAAGTTGATTGAAAAAAAGGAAAGTTAAGGTGCCTAATTGTTATATTGGAGATATTTGTACCTATCCTTCTGAAAAAGGATGGGTGATTCTTTATTTAGCACTCTATTGATATATAAAACAAATACAATACACTATACATTTATACACAATTGTCACATGAAGTAATAGTATTGATATGATGAGGTCACATTGAAAAGGGCATTACCATTATATCCTGCTTTGTTTGATTTAATTATTAGTATTAAGTTATATAATTGTATAAAAGATACCTCAGAAAGTTTCAAATCGCATTTATGATTTCATTCTGATGTAATTTGAAAAACAGTTATATTAGAATTAGGTAAATTAGGCCCCTTTTTGTAGCCTTTACTGTGGATTTTGATCGTGTAAAATTTTTGGCAACAGTTTAATATTGATTATACTTCAAGAAATCAGAATACTTTGATTTTTTTTCTATTTCAAGTAGTGAAATCAGTGTATCTTTCTTACACTTACTCTTTATTGCGTTCTTTATGTCCTAAATCCAGTTTTTATTCTTATTTTTGTTTTTGTTTATAGAAAAAGTACACTTTTGAAAGAGTTTTTGGAGAAAAAAGCACACAAGAGGACGTTTACAGCGAAATACAAGAGTTAATCAGGGTAAATCTTTTAAAAAGAAATTAATCTCGTGAGAATTTTCACTTTTAATCATAACGAGAAATTCATGTAAATCGTCTTCTGAATAGTATCAGACTACCTCAACTTATCTGTGAGAGGATGATTGTTTGAGTATGTAAATATATATTCGGGTGAAACACAATTATATAGGGAACAGTAAGGTTGCACTCGGGGGTAAAAAATTAATGTCTTTATTTTGCCCCCAACATATTTTCTCTAAAAAGTAGAGTATCTAAAGGATCTGAAACATAAACGGTTTTGTGAAATTCACATTAGAACTTTTTTTTTACCAGCTGATAATAACCTCATTTTCACAGGTTACGGACACTACAAGTGTTGTTTTCTTTGAAATAAATATTGAAAAATGTTTATAAGCTCTATTTTTTTCAACTGCTCACAACCAAACAACATAAAAAAATACAAAATATGGACAAAAGTTTGACTAAAAAAGGTGGCATTATACTTTAAAATGAAAAAAATCTTACTTCGTACATTTTTGTTTAAAATGGTAGTATTTTATTTCATGTGAACTCGATCTTTAAAACCAATCTAAATAAAGAAAAAACTATACATAAATAACACTTTTTATGTGTTTGTTGAAATATAAATGCTTTCATTAAAATAGGAAGTTTCATTTTTATAAATTTTCTAAATTAATTTGAAAGCTTCATTAAGTTACGGACACTACAAAACCCAATTATTTATGATTGGCTTTGGTTTGTGGTTAAAAAAAACCATTTTATAAATTTCTGAACTATTATAAATCACATTTAAATGATTATTAAATACAAAGTACATACAAATTAGGTATTGTTTCAAGTAAAAACAAACTTGCAGAACTAATGTCAATAGAAACAAATCCACTTAAGGAAATCCTGAAACTTCCTTTTTAGCTCACCTGAGCCGAAGGCTCAAGTGAGCTTTTCTGATCACATTTTGTCTGTCGTCCGTCCGTCCGTCCGTCTGTCTGTCCGTCTGTCTGTCTGTCCGTCCGTCCGTCTGTAAACTTTTCACATTTTCGACTTCTTCTCAAGAACCACTGGGCCAATTTTAACCAAACTTGGTACAAAGCATCCTTGGGTGAAGGGGAGTTTAAATTGTTAAAATGAAGGGCCAAGTCCCCTTACAAGGGGAGATAATCAAGAAAATACAAAAATAGGGTGGGGTCACTAAAAAATCTTCTTCTCAAGAACCACAGGGCCAGGAAAGCTGAAACTTATGTGGGAGCATCCTTGGGTAGTGTAGATATTAAATTGTTAAAATCATGACCCCCGGGGGTAGGGCGGGGCCACAATAGGGAATCCAAGTTTTACATAGAAATATATAGAACAAATCTTTAAAAATCTTCTTCTCAAGAACCACTGGGCCAGGAAAGCTGAAACCTATGTGGAAGCATCCTTGGGTAGTGTAGATATTAAATTGTTAAAATCATGACCCCCGGGGGTAGGTCGGGGCCACAATAGGGAATCCAAGTTTTACATAGAAATATATAGAACAAATTTTTAAAAATCTTCTTCTCTAGAACTACTTGGCCAGGAAAGCTGAAACATTTATGGAAGCATCCTTGGGTAGTGTAGATATTAAATTGTTAAAATCATGACCCCCGGGGGTAGGGCGGGGCCACAATAGCGAATCCAAGTTTTACATAGAAATATATAGAACAAATCTTTAAAAATCTTCTTCTCAAGAACCACTGGGCCAGGAAAGCTGAAACTTATGTGGAAGCATCCTTGGGTAGTGTAGATATCAAATTGTTAAAATCATGACCCCCGGGGGTAGGGCGGGGCCACAATAGCGAATCCAAGTTTTACATAGAAATATATAGAACAAATCTTTAAAAATCTTCTTCTCAAGAACCACTGGGCCAGGAAAGCTGAAACTTATGTGGAAGCATCCTTGGGTAGTGTAGATATTAAATTGTTAAAATCATGACCCCTGGGGGTAGGGCGGGGCCACAATAGCGAATCCAATTTTTACATAGAAATATATAGAACAAATCTTTAAAAATCTTCTTCTCAAGAACCACTGGGCCAGGAAAGCTGAAACTTATGTGGAAGCATCCTTGGGTAGTGTAAATATTAAATTGTTAAAATCATAACCCCCGGGGGTAGGGCGGGGCCACAATAGCGAATCCAAGTTTTACATAGAAATATATAGAACAAATCTTTAAAAATCTTCTTCTCAAGAACCACTGGGCCAGGAAAGCTGAAACTTATGTGGAAGCATCCTTGGGTAGTGTAGATATTAAATTGTTAAAATCATGACCCCCGGGGGTAGGGCGGGGCCACAATAGGGAATCCAATTTTTACATAGAAATATATAGAACAAATCTTTAAAAATCTTCTTCTCAAGAACCACTGGGCCAGGAAAGCTGAAACTTATGTGGGAGCATCCTTGGGTAGTGTAGATTCTAAAGTTTTGAAATAAAAAAAGGAAGGGGGTTGTTGGGCATGATAGGTATAGCAAGAGGGGGAATCTGGTAAAGATCTGCATCATCCAAGTTACTCAGGTGAGCGATGTGGCCCGTGGGCCTCTTGTTTCACATAACTATATAACTGAAGTGCAGAAGAAAAGTTCTCTACTTCATTAAAGTTTTAAGAAAACTATTTAGAATGTATGTACACTGATCAATAAAGTTAATGAACCAAATTTTAGGGTTACGGACACTACACAATACTTTAATTTTTCACAGGCTTGAGGATGAAGTTTTTGTTTTTCATCCTTTTTCCTAACTTTTTTTCAGCATTTCTTTCTCGTTTCAGTTTCTCCCATTTTTTTTTATTCTTCAGATCTCAACTGCATCTTTTAAAAGCATACCATAACCAATATACTTGGAATAAATATATACACATGTAACTTTATACAGGTGTTGTGTGCGAGTAGAAAAGTCAAACCTTGAAAAATAAAGCTCACCACTATTTCTTCAATTATTTTTTTATTCTGTGAAGCATTCTATTTTTCTTCAAACAGTTAAATATACAATACTTTATCTGAAATTGGTGTAATTTTAGTTGTTTTCTTTTTTGCAATTTTTTGTAGTGTCCGTAACCAAATTACTTCCCCTCTGTTTAACATTTAGAATGCAAATTTACTTGCATTTAACACATTTTAAGATATTACCTAATAAGCAACTAGACAATTGAAGCAATATATCACAAAAATATGGTTATGTAACTCGTGATAATAATTTCTCACTATTTTTATATTTCATTGTGGGTGTCCAATCATTATTTTAGTACTTGCAGTAAAGAAAAAAAAATCATGATCTAAATCAATTCCAGCTAATAAACTTTTTATCTCTAAATTTAATAACACACTGTTTCAAAAATTTATCTGTAAATTTTATGGAGAAAAAAATAAAGATATTTCATTTTTCAACTTTTGGTTACAGACACTACACACTCTATTATTTAAAATGGGATGAAACTTAACCTTAAATAGTGGAATTTCAACAATTTTTCTTAAATGTAACACCTGTTGACTTAAACTATGAAAAAATAATGACATGCTATTTGACTTAAATCCTAGGATATCAATAGCATCTGCCAATATCAAGGTGATGTAACACCAAGGATCTTGTATATGGAAATGGTGCAATCTGGGTTTCCCAAATTAGTTGCATTATCAAAATGAGGTAGAAAAATAAAGTATATTGACTAACTTGTTAAACAAACTTCTAACCCTTGTGAATAAACTAGAATTAGTGTTTTAACACCGCCTGTTTCAAAATGCGTCAAGTACAGGTTACGGACACTACAGGGTTTTGTAGTGTCCGTAACCACATTTGTGATCATAACAGAGAAAAACAGTGCTGATGATCAGGAAAATTACAACACATCTCAGCATCTATTTGAGATGCCTATCTAGGAAATTAGTTCAGATATTTATAGAGCCTTCCAATTTCACAGAATTAAAGTGGTTACGGACACTACGGTTTTTTGTAATAACTTAATTTTCCACATTAAAACATGATGAAATTTCATTACAATGGTTACATTAACCCAACTTTTTTCTGTAAGTAACAGAGCATTAATACTTTGATTTTAGACATAAATCTGAGAAATAAATGATATGGACATTATTTTTATTTGGCATAATGAGATGGGTAAAATTATGTGAAAATTGTATAACATTGCACCCTAATTACATTTTCTTTCATATCTCCAAAAGTTGTTATTCAATCCTGAAAATTCAAGCACCAAAATAATTTGTAAAATAAATTCTAAAGTCTGATAATGATCATTGGCATGAAAATGTATGATATTTAACAATTATTTCAATTGAAAAATGCTATGATTTCAAAGCGCAACCGCATAACGCTGAAAAAAAAGTCATTTTGGGGGTACGTTTTTTGCATTTACTTAAATTCTGTTTAGGCTAGATCAACAAAATTTTGCACACAAGTCCTTTATAAGTATGCCTATAAATGAATTATGATAAATTACATGTAAAGAAAATAACATTTTCATAAATCATGTATAACAATGTGGTATTCTTAATGCGCCCTATATTGTGTTTCACCCGATTAAAGACAACTTACGTAGAAAACATTTTACTATCACTTCTAGCGACTGAAAGTGATTCTTCTTTAATATTAATATAATTAGGTCACCTGAGTAAACTCAGGTGACCTATTGCTATCTGTTTTTGTCCGTCGTCGTCCGTCGTGCGGTGTGCGTCGTGCGTTAACATTTAAACATTTTCAGCTTCTTCTCTGAAACCACTGAACCAATTTCAACCAATTTTGGCATATAGCATCTATGGCTGAAGGGGAACAAAAATTGTGAATTTCGTGGTCCCTGCCCCCCTGGGGCCTGGGGGGTGGGGCAAAAGCCACTAAAATTAGTGCAATCTTTAAAAATCTTCTTCTTTACTCCCAGACATCAAGCAGTCAAACTGTTGGTATGATTGTAATCAGCATTGAGTCCTCTACCAAAATTGTGAAATTCATGGCCCCAGGGTCAGGGGTTCTGGTGTTAGGGTGGGGCTCTATTGATTTAATAGTGAAAATGCATTAATTCTTTGAAAATCTTCTTCTCTGCTCCTGGGTATCAAATAAACTAATTAAGTTCATAGTTATGATGAGCAAGAGTGCCTCTTCCAAAATTGTGAATTTTATGACCCCAGGGTCAGGGGTTCCTGTGTTAGGGCTGGGCTCTATTGATTTTATAGTGAAAATGCATTAAATCTTTGAAAATCTTCTTCTCTGCTCCTGGGTATTAAATAAACCAACTAAGTGCATAATTATAATGAGCAAGAGTGCCTTTACTAAAATTGTGAATTTTATAGGTTTTGGTGTTAGGGCGGGGCTTTATTGATTATATAGTGAAAATGCATTAAATCTTTTAAAATCTTATTCTCTGCTACTAGGTATCAAATAAACTAACTAAGTACATAGTTATGATGAGCAAGAGTGCCTCTACCAAAATTGTGAAATTCATGGCCCCAGGGTCAGGGGTTCTGGTGTTAGGGCGGGGCTCTATTGATTATATATAGAAAATGCTTTAAATCTTTGAAAATCTTCTTCTCTGTTCCTGAGTATTTAATAAACTAAGTACATAGTTATGATGAGCAAGAGTGCCTCTACCAAAATTGTGAAATTCATGGCCCCAGGGTCCGGGGTTCTGGTGTTAGGGCGGGGCTCTATTGATTATATAGTGAAAATGCATTAAATCTTTGAAAATCTTCTTCTCTGCTTCTGGGTATTAAATTTTCTAATTAAGGACATAGTTATAATGAGCAAGAATGCTTCTACCAAATTTGTGAATTTTATGGCCCCAAGATCAGGGGTTATGGTGTTAGGATGTGGCTGTATAATGATTATATGGTGAAAATACATTACATCTATGAAAATCTTTTCTCTACTCCTGGGTAATAAGCAGAATGAACTATTTACATAGTTATGATGGGATGGGCTCTTCTTCCAGAATTGTGAATTCCAAGGCCCCTGGGTCAGAGATACCAAAATGGGGAGGGGGGGTCTACTTATATACTGAAAATGAATTGTTTGAAATCTGCTCCTTGGTATTAATCAAACATTTTTGATAAGCAAGTGTGCCTTTTCAAAAATTATGCAATGTGTAGACCTAGGGTCAGGGGTTCATGTGTGGTAGGAGCACTTATGATTATTGCTGAATATTACTGATTAGTTGACATACTTTTTTGTTCCCCTACCCTGCTTATCCATATTAAGTAAACAAACTAAACAATTGTAAGTGTATAATTATGATTAGCAATGGTGCCTCTTTCAAAATTGTGAATGCCATAGCATCTAGCTTAAAACATGAACCAAATTCAATCATTTGAAAGTTGTTGCATGATGCTCAGTGACCTATAAGGCCCATGGGCCTCTTGTTATTTTATGTGTGTGTCTGTTTTTGATATCTTGCAGAGTTTCCTTGATGGATACAACTTGTGTATATTTGCGTATGGACAAACAGGGTCTGGTAAAACATACACCATGGAGGGAGCGAACTGGAATAATACAGCAGGAGATGCAAGCCTAGGGATAATACCCAGAGCAATGAAACAAGTGTTTAAAGCAATTGAGGATCTGAAAGTTTGTGGCTGGAAGGTAGGAATTTAAGTTTTAAATTCTGATTTATAGAACAAATAATGTTAATTCATTATGCATATGTGTATATTTTTCTTTCTTCCTTGCCTCTTATAATGAATTACTAATGAGAACTGCAAAAAGTATGAAGTAAATACTGCATGGAAATATTTAGATAAGACATAAAGAAATGTTAAATAACAGAATAAATGCATAATGTAAGGCATTGTTGTTAAATAATTCATGAAATCTATGTGAATACACTAAAATAAATATTTCGAAATCTTGAGAAACTTTAACAAAGATTTTTTTTTGTTTTCCGGACATTTCAATAAAACAATGAAAATTATTTTCAGTATCATTTAAAAGCATCGTATATGGAACTCTACAATGAAAAAATTCGTGACCTATCAAAAGGTTTAACTGATAATGAGGAACATTTAGTCAGGTATCCAGATGGAAATAAGGGCAAAGCAGAGGTCACAAATCTTACTGAAAAAGACGTTTGTAACGAACAAGAGGTCTGTAATAAAACAATCTAGTACGAATAGCACACGATCTATCCTTATTTTACAATGACTTAATTCTAGAAGGAAAATGGCTATAATTTATTTGCTTGTCTGAAACATTTAATGAATATCTAATTCCAAAATGCTTAATTCTAATTTTCCCTAGGTATTGAAATTTTACGAGAAATGTTCAAAGAATAGAACTTCGGCAAAAACGGAGAGAAATGAAAGATCTTCTAGAAGTCATGCTATATTTAGATTAGAAATGACGGGAAGAGTGGAGGATGTAGAGGGCAGAAAGGATACCTGTTCAGGTGACTGTAATGTTGATATCATTTATTCAATTCGTACCCGACGAAGTAATACAATCAAAATCAAATGAAAAATTTACCAACTGAAGATGAACTATACCTATTTTGAAAGAAAAAAAAAACAAGAAGAATATTTTGAGTATTTTATTTAAGACCAGAAAATGATATGCAAAATATCCCCAGCGAAGTGACATGCTTAGCTTCTATTTAAAGTTTTATGGAATGAGCTTTTGCAATTAATGGCATTCAAAATATTAATATATCTAAAGTTTAGATTATTAGTTGTTAAAATGTCAAATTTTTAATACAATATTTAAAAAACGTAAATCAAAATGTGATTTCATGTTTCAATATTAAGCAATTTGTGATCAAAATTAAATATTATTAACGGAATTTCCTGATAACTTCTTGATAATTAATGGTATGACTACAATGGCGACTATTACTATTGAACATCATATTCAACTTGGAATTTTTGGGATTTTTTTTTATTAGGTACACTTACCCTAGTAGATCTAGCTGGCAGTGAGAAGCTAGCGACTTCTGTGACAAGTTCTACAGGTCAAGAAACGAAAAATATCAACCTTAGTCTTTTGGAACTCACTAAAATTTTACGTAGTCTTCGATCAAAGGTACATTTTATTTCGAGAAAGAAACATATCCTTAAACATTAAAAAAGGAACATTCCGTACTAGTATTTCATGGAGTTTCATCAATGAAAGAGCATTTTTGCAACATTGATTTTATTTATCAGTAAATATTTTTAATGAATGACATTACAGTTTTATTTCAGTCATATATAAGGAATATTTTAACTTTTACAAATCAGCTGTTTTATGATCATTTAGCCGGTTATTAACTTATTATTAATAATTTTCTACAAAAAAACGACAGAAATTCCTCTTTCTTGACCGTTCAGATCCCAATAAGAGACTAGTCTGGCATAAATAAAATGATGTACATGCTCAGTCTTTGGTATTTAGTGGGCACGCTGTGACCAAGGAAGGGGTAACATTGTCAAACAAATATTACAAAAATAAAAACGTCATTGAATATTTTACTTTTGAAAATCTAAGGGACATTCTCTTGTATTATATCGATGAAAGTCATCATGAACCATGATTGTGTTATTTCATTTAACTAAATATCTTTATTAATATTATTTTCTTTTTTCCATCTTGCATTATGAACACTTGCAAATAATCAGAACATAATAAAATTATTTTTTTGGTATGTATTTTTTGTAATAATGCACGTTCACGTTTCATTTTATAGGATGCTTTAACATATAGAAATTCGAAACTTACGTACCTGCTGAAAAGTTCATTGGGAGGCAACAGTAAAACACTAATGATTGTAAATGTGTCCCCGTCTATTGAATGTCAAAATGAAACACAAAGATCTTTGGACTTTGGGAAGGAGGTATGTTTCATGTATCAATAGGTAAAGGAAAAAAAATAATCTTATAATAACTCGTGTTTTTTTTTTTTTTGTAATTAGCAAAGCAATGTTATGATAAAATTGATAAATTTTAAAAATTCTTTATTTTGAAGGTCAGTAAAGTTGTACTCGAGAATGTTCCAAAGAAGAATAAATAATCAGATTAAATGTGTCATCAACTTTTGTGATTGATTGTTATTTGCGTCCTTTACTATCGTAAATTAGACTGTGATGAACGTATATATTTAATTACTGGACAGATTAAACTACATGTGTATGTAGGACAAATAATTACAATAGCCATCTAAACTCCTATTTAAGATAATTTTTATGCTGGGTACAATTCTTTTAATTCAAACAGTCTTGTACGAGGGTTGTTCGTAAAGTTCGTGAACGATGTCAAATCTTCGTTACAATACTCACTGGAAATTTGAAATAAGCACACTATAATATGTAAAAATATTTGTTTTCTTTATGTGTGAAGTTTCATTCCATTTGATTTAACAGAAACTAATTTACTTCATTTTAGAATCAACATGTTTTGTACCCGCGGAGCACACTTAACGGCAATGTAACGTCAACACATAGCGTGAAGAATTTCAAAAAGATACTATCCCTACACATTCGACACAGTATATTCCAATGCCCATTCATTAAATCCTTCTTCCAATACTTGACATTTATTTTTTAAGAATTGATCTCGTTGTATAATTTCCTTTGTTAAGGTTTTAATTTCTCTATTACTTAACTCTGCTTTCACAGGATAAGAAACTCTGAAGCGCCTATGACTTTCCTTTAAAGTGGCTGGAACGTTATTGTTGACAAACCAATCGTGTAGAATCGTTCGTGTATCGTGAGTGATCGTTCGTTTAACGTGCAAGATCGTTCGTGTATCAGACTCAATCGTGTGCGTTTTTAATCGTGCGAGATCGTGCGTTTAGAATCGTTTAAATTTCGTTTTGTAAGTTTTTATCGCAATGTTATTTGTAAAGAGAGCATTTCCCTTGTTTGTTTTTATTTTGTTATTGTTTTATTAATTAAAATCCAAATAAAATGAAAAAGCGCAATTTATATAATAGAATGCAGAACGAACTAATTATCGCCCGTAAACAAGCAATAAAGTAAGTCGTACAATGTTAAGTTCTCGTCAAAGAGCGCGATCAATATTGTATTAAACCGTACTTTGAAAAATCTGATTTTATTTTTTATTTACTTCTTATTGTGGTCAAGATAATCTTGAAATCAATTCATTAAAAATTAAATATATATATTTTTTGACAAAGAAATAAACATTTCTCAATGCTTACATAACTAGTTAGTCGACAAATATACATGGACACGGGATGGTTTTCGGGAGTTTTGATTATCTGTGTTTATCTCTTGAGCCTATTTGTAATTAATTAATTTTAAATTTCTGCAAATAAAAAAGTTGAATAATTGGCAAGTTTATCAGACATTGAATCATTGGAAACATATGGATAAAATTTGTAATTATAATTTAAGTCATTCCATGCTGCCATTTTTGTTCAATCGTATCCCCCTTTCTGCATATCATGATATCCAATTCAATCAAATTATACGACCCACATGCATGTACATCGTCTAATAGAACAAACAAAATCCATTTTTTTTATCGGAGAATTACCTTAGAAATAATTATTTTTAATCTAAAATATTAAGTCTTGCATATATTTAGTTACAGAAATATCATTTTCCGTTTTTTTCTTCAAAGTCTATGAAATAATATTGCTAATTCTTTGAAATCTTAAATAAGTTTTAAGCCGTATTTCGTTTTGAAAATATTGAATCCTAAATATTTTGAACTATTTTGAGTGAAGAATCGTGCGTTTGCGTTAGCAATCGTGTAAGATCGTGTAACGTGTAGAATCGTGAACGTGAAGGATCGTTCGTGTATCAGGTCTAATCGTGCGTTAATCGTGCGGAATCGTTCGTGTAACGTGATCGTTCGTGTAAGTTGTCAACAATAACGTTCCAGCCACTGTACGTTCCAACTTTTAAAAGTTTTGTTCAGATTTTTACGGTAAAACCGTTTCTTCACAGATCATCCTCATCCGATACAGAGTCTCTGTCACTCAAATACTGCCTGTACTATTTGTACACACATGCACAACTCGCTTGATACATTTTCTTGATTCCTTCAACATTTTTAGTGTTCATTCAGGATTTTTCCGGAGAAAAACTCAAAATTTCATCGTTATCTGCTTTTCCGTGACGTTCTAAAAGTCATCGTTTTGCCGTTTTCAATAAGGACTACCTATCTTCTGAAGTTGATTTCTTTTCAACAAAGCAAAATATAGAACCACTATTTGGTATACGAATCGATGTAACAATTCTCAATTTGAATTTCTAGGTTGTTTTTCGTTTTTACTCCATTTTACAGATAATATGACTACCTATATTATTTAGTGTATTGCCTGTAATTTACTAAATTTTGACCTGCTCCGCGATCCGACTTTTGAATTTTTAAAATCTGGATAAGTTTTGAATAAATCGTAATATTTTGAAAAAATTAATGCGTATTATTTGAATTTATTGTTAAAATATTTCTACCAAATTTGGATAGCATATGACGTCTAATAAAAAAGATATGACAGTTATCCACGAACTTTTCGAACAACCCTAGTATAATGAGTTTATTTTACATTATTTTGTATATAAAAAAAAGTTTTTTTTCTTGTTTTAGTTTTTTGCTTGTTTAGCGTTTCTTTGTTCATTGGTATTGAGATGCCCACATTTGTTGGTAGAGAAGAGCAAATTGTATACCTATACTTTGGATTCTAGCAGAGAGGAATATTTTACGTGCTAGCTCTTACAAAGAACTCTGTTTATAGACCGAAGAACTAATCTTCAAGTCCCACAGTAGTATTCGAACCTGCGACGTTAGGATAAATTCCTTACTCCACGATCGACCATTAGAACAAACGCCCTAACCACTGCGCCTAGTGCGAATCTTGTCTTTAGTTAGTAGTGTTGCTCAGAGTGAATATTAAGGATTGCAGATATGCAAAGTTGACATCGTTTTTAAATATAAGAAAAGATTCCTTCGAATTCATTGAAATATGGTAGAGGTGTCAATTTTTCATAAGTTTAATCTAATATATTCGGTCGGTAATGCAACGCAAGTGTTAAAAGTAGATTTTTTAACTATTCTTTTCTATAAGCCCTAACCCGTTTCATGAAATATGCCACCGGCGTGAAGCATCGTTGTTCATAACCTCATGAATCTTAAAAAAAATTATTTATTTCTTAAATAAGTACTATTTCAATATTTAATTCTTTTACTATTCAATATATTACATATTATAATGCAGAATTGTAAGTCAACTACAGCAAAACTCGTTTAGTACGAACACGGATATTGCGAATTTACGGATATAACGAAGTCGTCTTGGATCCCCAGCTATATAAATTTAATGAATTTCTTATACGGTTAAATTTTGGATATTTCATAGGTCCCAGTGATTTCGTTATAACCGAGTTTTCATTCATTCTTCCACGCAAATATTTCGTCTTCTCTATGTTACCGAGCAATAAAGGAAAATATTATGAATCATATGATAGTATCCATTTTATTTATTGAAGTATAAGATAAAGACATTGACATGTAACAAATACAAGGAATACATTCGAAAAAATACAAGTTACATATAGTTACAGAAATATTGACAACAAGTTACCGTTTATGCAGCATGAATATAAGATAGAAAAATGTTCTGTAGCAAAATGAACTTGGAACTTACAGACAAATATAAGAATTTACTAAGACAACGTTAACTGCAAAAATACGATAAAGTATAAACTTCGAAATTAATTTAATATGTCATACCCAAATCGTTAAAAGTAAAGTAACAAATCATTAAATACGAAAGTTACATACCACCAGATGCATCTGATATCAGCTGGATATATAATTTCTTCTTTAGATGTAATACTGTTCAATTTTGCTAAGTTTGATTGATTGATTGATTGTATATTGTTTAACGTGCCTCTCGAGAATTTTTCACTCATATGGAGACGCAACCACTTGCCGGTGGAGAGCTGCAAATTTTGTCCTATACTCGGCACTCAGGGCCATTGAGCAGGGGGGATCTTTTTCGTGCCAGCAACTACTGCGACACAGGACCTCGGTTTATACGGTCTCATCCGAAAGACTGATCTCCACGTCCCACAGTAGAATTCCAACCCGCGTCGTAAGGATCATCTCCTTACTTCGCCTCTTTAGAGCAGACGCCCTGACCACTGCGCCAGGCGGGTGTCTTGTTTGGTTTGAACGATTACTTACCACTTTACAAATAATGTAATTTAGACTAACATATCCCATTACATTTGCTACGTCATAGTGGAGTTTTAGGAGAAGCGCTGACTTTTACAATTGGCGGCTTTCTTGGTTATTCAAACGTCGGTTATGTATGGAAGTACTGAATTGATAATAAATAAGAAAAAAAATAATAGTGGATATTGTTATGGTTTTAAAGACACTAACATTATTCATAAACACAAGAGATGATTGGAGGTAGATTAAATTTACTTATTAATATCTTATCAATCAGAGAGGTTGTATCTTCATTTATTTTCCTTTTCCAAATTAATCAAATGAAGAAAAAAAAACGTCATGAGAGGAAAACTTGGCAGAGGTCGATCACGGTGGAAAAGGAAGGGGTTGAGGGAAGAATTTTTGCCGTTCCTTTCCAAGACGTCGTAATACTGGCTTAGAAATGACCCATTTTTATTGTTTTGTCAACTGTTAAGCTAAATATTTATACTGCTATTAGCTAAAGAGCTTCCATACATTTTCTAGGTGTAAAAGCCTACTACCAGACATTGAAGTCGTAGATCCAGTGAGTTCAAAATAGGTTTTTCCACAAAGGGTTTGAATTCCAGTAAACATTAACTGCATCCGGTTTATATAGCGCTTCGGTTTCTTTTATTCAACTCAGGTAGAAATTCATCATGAAATTCTTCATGAATAAAAAAAATATGCGTTGGCTTCATTTCCTCATTTATGTAAGAAACAATTATATTACCTTTTTTTCCATTGATAATATTTATTAATATCTCTTTGTTCACTCAACATCTTTTAAAAAATAAGAGAAACACCTCAAAGTCTGACAAATTTGGATATTTGATTAATAAAAAGGTATTTATGATAAGTTAAGAAGGTGAGGGTCCCACTATATATGTCATTTAAACATGACAAGCAATATTCCAGAACATTGAAAGTTGCAAACTTAATAACCAAGAGCGATTGCGACAAGTGAAGGAAAATCGTTAAAACAAGGCATCTGAAGTAAAATGCGACAACAACATCAAAAAATGAACTAATATATTCAACACAATAATCTATATTAAGATACGTCTGTTCATCCATGAAAGATATGGATATGTTCCGTTATATTAACTTTTGTATTTGATAAAAAAGAAGATAATAGATGCCAAGATGACGCAGCTTTTATAAGACTCCCATGTTGTCGAGCTCCCTTTGCATCTGACACACCGCACATGCGCCGCAGAATGACAACACCAAACAGTCATTACAAGCTGATCCCTATGAAACAAGTCCAAGATGTTTAAATCAAGTATCTTATAAAACTAACTACTAATGAACAAGGCCGGAAAGTAATTTAAATAAGATTATAAATCTTACTTTGAACTATTCGTAATGGTTATTTACTGATAAAACTAACCATTAATGAACAAGTCCGAGAAGTTTAAATCAATTATCTGATAAAACTAACTTTTAATGAACAAGTTCCAGAAGTTAAAATAAAAAGATTGATTAATAGATTATTCTTACTGGGTATTTAAGCCATTTATATACATGTATATCAAGTAATCCAAAGAAAGAATATTTTGCATCGAAAATTTATTTAATTTAACCTGGATGCCTCCGATGGTTCTTATTCTGCTCCTCATCAGGACTGTTCCACCGGGGACACAGTAAGGCATACAGCAGCACTCCCCAGTCCTAGAGGCCAAATTACAGACCGTACATGGCAGACAGAAGTACCCCATGATGCCTGTTTTTCCATGTAAAAAAATGCAAGAACATAGTAAATGTTTAATAAGCTTATCTTAACAAAGCATCTCTTGATTTTAGAATACATGGGAATATATTGATACTTATGTCATTTCTGCAGAAAAGTATCAGTGTATCTCATAAAGAAGTTCAAATTCATTTTGATAAAACGCGTTGTTCTTTGGCAAACGAATCATTCTCATGAGGAAATGCAGAAGAAGATTTAAAAAGTAAATGAGGAGACAAACTCTTACAAGTAAAAACTCTTACAAGAGAAATGCGAATACACGTATCTCTTTTTATTTTCTGAAAAATGGACAACCTATAAATTCTCAAACGTTTTCCAATGTATTTTATTTTGGTAATATGATATATTGTTTCAATGGTCTCATGGATGGCCTTTGCATAGTGTTGCGAAGGAATAGCAAAAACGTAATGCTCTATTATATTGTACAAAACAATTTAAAGATAAAGCAATAATCACTTACATGAACCGATGTCTGAGAAGCAATCAAAGAGTCCAGTGGTCCAGTATCTGTGACCCTCTATACCGGTCACCATCAGGGGATTACCTGATCCTGCTACAGGCTGCTGAACAACCACTGTGGTTGACATTTTGATCAGAGTCTCTAGTGAAGTTTATATGACTGTAATTTAAAGGAACGTAACGGATAATTTACAAGTATGTTGAATATACTAGTTTGTTATACCCCTATATAACAGTTCCTATTTAACTCTATACGAAAAAGAAGTCCTGCATTTTGACTGTTCCGGCGACTGAACTGTTAAAATCGACTGTTCAAAACAAGACTATTGAACGATGACATCATATGGCAGTAAAACGAGTTATCTTTCCTGTCGTTTGGTTATAAACAAAAATGGAAGATGAACGCTTCGGAAATGCCACAGAAGAGGAAATTGGGGCTATTTCAGAAAGTAGGGGTATCAAAAACACAAAAAATTGAAGTGGAAACGGCAGAAAACATTCTTAACAATTATCTTGTGACCTGTGGCTTATCCCTTCACCTGCTGAGAAAAAAACCATGCAGTGATTTAGTTGAAATTCTCAGAAAGTTCTACTGTGCCGCTAGGTAGAAAGACGGTAACATGTACGCCAAGAAATCCATCATTTCCATCAGATACGGTGTTCAAAAATCGTTTGAAAAATCACATGCTGTTGACATCATCAACTATTCGAGGTTTAAGACGGCGAATGATGTTTTTTTCGCTGCCATGGTTCAAATAAAAAAGAGGGCTTAGGTGAAGTGCAGCACAAGGACGCAATAAGCGAACAAGACTTGGTGACATTGTACAGCAGTGGAGTTTTTACCTGTGACACACCCAAAACACTTCAACACAAAATTTTCTTTGAAATCATGTTGTACTTTTGTAATCGTGGGAGAGAAAATCTCCGAAACATGAGAAAAACTGATTATGTTATCCGAGAGGACCATGATGGCAGGCGATATGTTGCCTGTACTACCGCCAGGTTAACAAAAAACCACCTGGGAGATAATTCAACTGACGACGACCAGGATGTTAGAAGGATGTATGAGCAACCTGGTAAGTGCATAACTAATTAAGCCTCTACATTTGCGAAGATTATCTCGCTAAGCTAAATATGGATTGTGACTCTTTATGGCAACGGCCGAGGATGAATGTTACTGACCAATCCCCTGTATGGTATGACAACATGGTTGTTGGAAAGAACACTTTAGGAAGTCTGATGCAGAGGATCAGCATAGATGCAGGGCTTTCATGTGTTTATACCAATCACTGTATTAGAACTACCTGTATAACCATGCTGGATGAATGTGGGTATGAGTCTCGGCAATTAATTGGTATATCTAAGCACAGGTCTGAAAGTAGTCTGAAACACTACTCCACAAAATTAAGTGATTCCAAAAAACGCACTACATGTATGTCAGATTCCTTGGCTGCAGAAGTATTTACGTACAAGGCCACACCAATTCTACAACCCCTGAGACCAGTGGAGAATAACAAAATGCCCCATACAGCCTCCACTACGTCTATTCAAGAACTCTCAGACAATGTAGATGTAGACGACCGAGACTTAGCCGCTATCCTTGATGATCCTTTGTTTGGAAGTTTGCAAATAACAGCATTCCTAATATAAGCAACTCAAAATTTGTGTTTTCTTTCCATGGTTGCAACATTACTATCCACAATCACTGAATTGTTTACATTGCATGTAAATTAATTTAAATCGGTGATGAAAAAATGATTTTAACTGTGGTGTAACTGAATATTATCATACTGGCAATCTTGCTTTTTCAAAATCAGTTGTATAATTATAAAATTTCATATTTAATTATTTATGTGCTGTTGAAATTAATTGTTACACGATGTGATTGTTGAAAATTTTCATTATACTTGATTTAAATTTACCTGAGGATTCGAAATTGACACACGTTTGTATTACTGACTAAAATATTTTATAAACTTCCAAATTAATTGTATAGTTTATTCTAATCATAGAACATTGTATATGTATTTGTTTATTCATTTTATTTTAAAGTAGTTATTGTTAAACTAAATCATCATATTTGATGTGTAATTTATAAAGACTTGTTAAATTTGTTATGAATTGCAGCTCTAAATGCGTTTAATAAAATTTAATCTGCTACAAATATTGATTCATTTTCCTGACTTATTAACGGTACTATGAACCATAATTTTATGGTTATTATGTAGGTATAACAAAACGGTTGTTGACAGGGGTCTCGGGCAACAGTTGATCTGTCGGACCAGTGTGCGAATTGTTGCCCGCAGCCTTCGGCCTTGGGCAACAGTTTTCACACTGGTCCGACAGATCAATAGTTGCCCTCAACCCCAGTCAACAACTGTATACTATAAAGTACAACTTTTCTCCGATTATTCTTGAAATTACCATAAACATTGTGTTGGTTTGAATGAATATATGAAACATGAAGTTAACAAACAGAAATCCAGTTAAAAAGTCTATTGACTCAATACAACAGAGCAATCTCAGACCTCTAAAAACACCAGAGATTAAATTCGGTGTAAACATCCCCTATCAACCGGCCACAGCTGTTCTTTGCTTTCTGTCATGATCGTAAAAAATCGGTACACAATACAGTGTGTTTATAATAATCTAACAATTAGTATGTAAAACTTCACTCAGCATTTGACTTAATAATACTCCAGTATATTGTATTTGGGTTGTATTGACAAAGAAAATTGTCATATGTAATCTTTAAAAGAGACTGCTGATTCCATTGTTAGATAGACTTTTTTTTTTACAAAAGCTTGCCATCTTTAAGGATTTGTTCTTTTGTAAAACGTGCTTTTGCGATTAAGAAAAACTGGAATACATAAAAGTCCATATACATGTACAGGTGATACCGATATAGTGCTACATGAATAAGAAAAGATGACCTCAGAAAAATGTAAGTTATCACCTTTATCATAAAAATTAAGCCGTCGTAAAATCTAAAACAATCCGACAAAAGGCTTATACACAGATCGCTCCAATCGTTGCAACCATTGTTTGTAATACAACTTATTTTATTGTCTTTGTGACTTCACAACAACACACAGGACCGCCTCACTTAAGTATTCGAAGGCTATGGCTTTCTTGAGTTTCCATTACTATTGAGCAAAGATAGCAATTGGCTGCCTAAAAGGTTTTTAGCTACAGGCTAGTTTTACAAGATTTCAACAATTTAGAAGTCATTTTAAAAGCACAATGTCATCTAACAGAGGAAGGGATTAATGAATTTTGATTTTCTTAACGGAAGGCTTACCCTCTATTCTCCAGAAAGCGTCCGATAGTTTATTCACAATCACGAGACTGGGGAAGCATTTAATAAAAAAAACCCACATGAATCTTAATAATAGTTATCTTGAATAGCTGATAAATATTGTACGCTATGTAAATTCACCTTAGTTATATTTGTAAGAGATTGATAATGTGTTTGCATATATACTGTAAGACAATTCCTATTTTTATCTAACCAACCACATCTATATGTATCGAATCGTTTCACAACTATGACTTAATTTATGGATTATGATAGTGTAGTTAAAAAAGAATTTAATATCATTATTTTCTTATATTTAATTTAGCACCTGATCCCACTTCTGATGTTTCGGAGGTCCGAGTTTCCTCTGCTCTTATTTTGTATTGTTTTATTGACTTGATTTTGAATACAGTTTGTTGTCTCCATATCCTTCGATTTATGTTATTATTTTTATCATCATTTCAGTTATTAAAAGAACTTCTTGTATGAAAAGATAGGGTACAATTACAAGTATGTAACTTCCTTAAATCAGTAAAAATTTCCTTTTTGTATTTTTTTTTTGTCGTAGATTCCTTTTCATGGACTGTGTTATTTTTTCCTTTAAAGATACATACACGTATATAATATGAAGTGAATTTTTGGCAATGCTTTTTATTTCTGCATAATTGGCGTTCGTATTTTGATAAACCTTTTATAATGTATCTTTTCTCTTGAAACACCTTCATCTTATTCGATTAGATTTTAATGTTATCTATAAATGTATGACTTTTTTCATGTATGCAGTTTTTAGAATATTTAGAAATGCACAATATTTTGGAATTGCATTACACAGTTTATTCAAATCAGCACATATAATCTTTTTTGGCAGAAATTTATAAGCTTTAATGGTTAACTTTGAAGAAATTGATAATTGATATTTTTTTTTACATCTTGAGGAATAAGGTAAAATGTTGGTCCTTTTTCTTTCCTTCAAATTCATTTATTCAATAGCGTACAATATAAGGTAAAATGTTGGTTCTTACGTTGCGGTTTCGAATCCCATTGTGAGACGTGGAGACAAATCCTTCGGATGAGACCGTATAAACTGAGGACCTGAGTCGCAGTAAATGCTGGTACGACAACGATCCCTTATTGCTTTTAAAATAGCAACGATGGTATCTGTGTATCAGGAGATGACAATAAATAAAAAAAAAATCAAAATCTTTCAAAAGAGTAAGTAACGTATTGGTCAATATGCATGCTTTGTTGTCTGGTGTAAGAAATGCACCAGACTGTTATATGTCCTGGGAAAGGAAAGTATTTTTGAAAACTGTATGTTTCTAACGTAACGACCTTGTTTAGTTTACTGTTTGGTTACTAAAACATGTTGATTTTAAAACCAAAGTAAAACATACGACTTTTAAAAATAATATGCAGTTATTCCCCAAGATATATTAAAATTAATTCATATTTATACATAAGACGAGTGTTTTTTATACCTAAATTTATTTACCTTGTCATAATTGGTCACTTGCAAACTTTAGTTTTGAAAAAAAAACACAATCCTTTACAAATAAATACTCCCACCTACATTATAAAAAGATATTTGAGTTTCTAATTGATAATCGGTATCTATGCAGTGTTTGGCGATCTGATCATTACTCTCGAGTCAAAAGCAGGTGATCATTCAATATCACAAACATTGTTTCTAAATACACGTAGCTTAGGAAATGTTCTAATGTAGCGTCCGATAGTTTATTCACAATCACGAGACTGGGGAAGCATTTGATAAAACCCACATGAATCTTAATAATAGTTATCTTGAATAGCTGATAAATATTGTACGTTATATTTGT